TACATTGGGAGCTGTCAGGAATGTCTGAGCAGGTGTGTGTGGGTATGATTGGTAAGCAGCTTACAAGCAGCTATCATTAAATGTGTAATAACAGCACAGTGCCAGCAAAATGAGACAACTAGAGCAGTCAGGGGTACAGGATTTATAGACTACTGCTCTATGCACCATCCTTAACTCTGCTTTGTACGTTGGCTCTCCAACAATCTCGTGTTTGTAATGCCTGTTCTGTCATATGGCGTCCACATTTTCCTGGGGTCTGAAAATACAAAGTCATCTTTGTATAAGCACACAATTTACCTGCTCTGGTTCAAGGAGGTTTAATATGATTTTTGAAGACTGTTTTCTTTATGAGGCTTTCTGAGCTGCTCCTTATCATCCTTTGAGATACAGAGAAAAAAGTTAGTATTTCCTTATCATGTGATTTTAGGATTCTGGCACTTTGTTGAGTTTTTTTCCCTTTCAAAAGAGGACAAGCAATAAGCTAAGAAAGTCATCATAGTTTTATATCTATTCAAATCTATTTTCTTTCATTGAAGTGTCATCTTTGTTGGAGGAGCCTCTGCCCCTCTCTAGTGAGGTTTGCACAGAGAAATCAGTGACAGTGACCACGATATTGTTTTCAAAGGGGACCTAAATGCAAAATAAAGTTCATGCTACGAGAGTTAAAAAGCAAAAAGAAAAAAAAGGAAAAGGCATGATCCAGCTACCCAAGTGACAGCACACTGGGGAGAGTATCTTCAGAAAGCTTCTCAGATATACTCAGTGGGGGTCAAACCACTATAGCCACCTGAATTATTTAATGTGACAGAAACTGGGCTGGATGCAGAACAAAGACAAATGCTTGGGCCTTGCTGTAGGTCATTCCTGAAATAACCATGGGTCATACACCTTGCAAACTGAAAGAGTGACTGCTGGTCATTAGAAAGGGTAGAAATAGTGGTACTGTACAATATTTAGGCTCCAGTAACGTGAAAGGGAATTTTTAATTCTTCTCTTTTTCCTTTGCCCTTGTGCAAAGCTGCATGCCCGGATGGGGTGTAGACAGGGTGGAAGATTAAAAACAATGAGCAATCTATAGCAGTTAATCTGCCCGACTGGGAGGGCCTCAGGCTGTGCTGGACAGTTGGGATTCATGTCAGCTGTCTGGTTTAGGGTTGCAGCAGGACCACAAAAGGTTGCCTGATGGGAAGTGTGTGCACTGAAGGCTCACCACAGCAACGCAGATGGGGCTGCAGGGCTGTGCAGACTGGCTCCAGGCAGAGCCAGGAGAGAGACAGCACGTGAAAAACCATGTGGGTTTCTGCAGAAAGCAACACAGCTCCAGGGATCCCAACTGTTCAAATGATTTCTGCATTATTGCAATGGCTGAAGGAGTATTTTGGGACTTGTAACACCCACTGCTGGGACACTCATCTCAGGTTCTGGGTAAAACTCTCCCTAAAATAAAGGACCATGCTAATCCATATCACTTGGACCTGCCCATCTGCCTCTGACAACCAGAATCTTCAGAGATATTCTTTGGATATACGCAGAGTTGTCAGGTTAAGTCCCTTAAAAACAGCTTTTGTGAAGGGAAAAGGAGAAGATCCTGCAGGTCCTAAGAGGATAGCTGTGTTTTGGGCACAAGTTCCAAGCATCAGAAAAGTTTATTTTCTCAATTCTGCCTGTGTGGCAGCCTCCAGTTTAACCACATCTCTGGCAGCTCTAGATAATGTATGAGATCATACCCATCCCTTGGATAGTACAGCTGGGCTCTCTGGACAGGAATACAGTGATAATTCATGTCTTTGACACCAAAAAATGCCTATGTGCATTATTAGCTGAAATATGCCCCATGGAACTCTGTCTTCATGGCATTTCTTTGGCCTATGTTTTATTATAAATTCATAGACTTTTGTGGTTTCAGAGCATTTTTTTTAAGATGGCTCTTACAATTGTCTTCAGAATCATAGCTAATTATTTCCCTCATTTCCCAAATAAAATAGCCTGTGATTTATCTACACTTTCAGAAAGAGCCAGGGAAAAAAAATTGCTGGAATAAATTAAAAAATGGTACAGTGAGATTATTACTTCCGTTCATCCATCCAGAACATCCTGAGAGGATGACTAAAGGTCTTGGTAGTCCATTAATTTAAAGTACTGTCAACTTTCTCAGTGCAAACATATATATGAATACAGAAAAGAAAAAAAAAAGTAGACAGAAAGATGAGTGAATCACTTCTTGCAGATACCTTAAGGTAAGGGTGGGATTTTGTGCTGGGGCAGTATTTTATCTGCTTGTAAGGGTCCCTGAAGGGTGAACTCATACACAGCTGCACAGCTTGCTGGATTTTCAGCAATATATGCTTCAGAAATCAGTAAAGGAAAAACTGATTCCTCAGCCTTACTGTAGACCACAAACCAAAGCAAAATCAACTCAAAGGGCTCAAAAGGTTCTACCCAGGGTTTTTAAAACACTGGGAATATTTTCATATTCATAGAGGTTGTAGGCATCTACCTAGTGACTTTCTGGTTAAATGAACTATTCCATAGAAATATCCCAGTTTAAAACTTAAAATGCCAGCCAAATGTGATGTGACCAACCTAATTTTAAAGTCCGTTTGTAATAACCCTGCAATTAATCAATTAGTTTTTTAATTAAGAAATGAACTTAAAAGTACTGATTTATAAGCACTCTAGCTCACAGCCAACACATTTTCATTTTGTTTGCCTGGATTTACACCAGAGGTCAATTAGTCCTGATGAGATTAAAGTCTTGGTAATTTTGAGAAACAGCATCTCTATAAGATCATGCAGTTTAGCTTTAATGCATCTTAATCCACTTTCATACCTCTAGTTAATTTGCATTCATTTTCCTCAGGGTCTGTGTAGGTAAACACCAAACACAATTTTAGAAGTATTTAGGCAGGATCCCTGATTTATCCCTGTTTTCCTGGCAGGAGTGTGTGTGGGTGACACAGGATCAGAGCCCTCACTCTCCACTCGGGAGAAAGGCAGGGGAGGCTCTGTGTCTGCTCTTGGCAGAGAAGAGGAGCTGTGTTTTCACTGTCCTGCCTTTTATTAGCAACTGGCATTTTTTTCTCCTTGCAGCTGAAGCCCCTAACAAAAGGCAAAGAATAAAATTAGACAAAAAAGCATCTGCTCTAAATGGAATTGGGCCAGTCCAGTCAAGTTTAAAGACTCTGAATCATTTGGGGGTATAAGACTGGCAATTTACTAATGACTACAACTTATTAAAAAGGCATGAAAAGCTCCCTAATTACATATTTGGATGCTAAGTAGCCATTCTCAGCTTCACAGACAGCATGACTTTCCCTTCCAGTCTTGTCCCAGACCACACATTAAAAAGAAAACAGGCATCATAAAGGCTCAGGCGTTTTAGATGCTAGAAACTAAGTTATTGTAAAGACTTAACCAGACTTTCACTTGAGTCTTTAGGCTACTCTCTTCTTCTAACTCTTATTGAAGGCTGAAAAATTTCGGTCATCTCATAACGTATGCATTTATAAATAAATTACCATATGTCCCAAATTTTTGAAAAACAACACAACACATAATCCAAACCACCTTGTTTTTTCTCTACTCTACCAGGCTAATTTCACTGGATCATTAGTTTTAAACATCTATTACACTATAAACAAATCCTGAAAAGCTTATGGACACAAAGTCAGACATTCAAAAGATTGGAAGTGCCAGATTTAGTGCAAAAGTTCTGTGGGGCTCAGCACAGGGAAATCTATTTACAGTTCCTATTATACAAATTGCTCAGTGCCTTTATTTGCTGCATAGCATCCAAAGCCAGCATTAAATATAAAATTGTTCATTTCCTGATGAGTGTTTTGTTTTGTTTTAATAATGTATTGACCTAGAGTTGGAATGCCCCACAAACATTCTTGAGTTTATCTGCAAAAGACACCCTCTAAACACTCTCTATGAGTGTTGTTATCCCAGTTTTCCAGGATTCACCCTTTTCCCTCTCTGGCCACGAAGCAAAGCCACTTTTCTGGACACGATGGGCTCTGTGTGTGGTGCTGCACGAGGCTGTACATCACACAAAGTCCAGCCTGTGCTGGCTTTGCAGGGTGTGACAAACCCCCTGCTCAGCAGAGGTGCAAACCTGCATTTTTGGACAGGGTTTTTTATTCCCACCCCAGGCAGAAGCAGAGGGACCCTCCATGCAGGACACCTGTTTTCCCTGTTTTACAGGAAAGGAAATGAGTGCAGAGGGTAACACTACTGTCAGACAAGGAGAACCTATTCAGTGTGTTGCTGCTGGCTGCAAAATCTGAAATCCCAAAGCTCCCTACAAAGCAAGCACACAGTGACAATCAATGGCTGTCTCTGCAATAAACATTTAAATACAATGTTTGTGTAAAACCCAGCAAAACAAAGCTGATCCTATATTTTTATATCAACAGCTCTACAGCTGTGTGAGTACTTAAACCTATTTCTTTTACAAAACAACAGTCAGGTAAGAGTAATTCTTCTGAAAGCTGCTAATCCCCTATGTAACATTCATGTAAGTCTTGTTCTGCTCTTTGGAGGGACTTATGCAGACAGGTGTCTAATCATTCCTGTGAGCAGCGCCCAAATCACAACCAGCATTTCACCACAAAATGCTGTGTATGAAACACAGCATCTCCTCTAGGAGCTGAAAAATGGTGGGTTTTTTTTGAAACAACAGAGTAGTGAGTGCCTAAATTACCTATAGTCCAGAAGAACTCAGTTCTCCTGCCAGTGCAATTCCATTTCTAAAGAGGGTGACACTGACAAGGCTCTTTGCTGCTGCATCACTCACTTTTCAAGCCTCACAACAAATGCAGAGCCAGGCACACTTAAATCCTGAGATGAGGTTGCAAGTGCAATTTGAACCATGGTGGCTGCACCTTACTTCATTTATAGGAAAGAAGGACTGGCAAGGAGTTTCTGAGGAAGTGAGTTTTTCCTTGAAACAGCAGTGGCCATATTATATTTAAAAAAAATAGAGAAAAGTAATACAATATTGAGTAATACAATATATTACACAAAAAGTAATATAAATAATAATATAAAAGTAATACAATATATTACACAAAAATAAAACCCTATGTAGCTTTTCCCACAGAGACAACTTCAGAGCTGGAAAAAGAAGGGTAAGTGGCAGGTGGTGCTCCTATCTTTGTCACAAAAGCAGTCACTGAAGTTGAAGCATTTTGCACAGCCCCAGAAAATCCAGATCATGTCAGTCATGGAATTCACGTGACACAGAGGTGGAGCAATGAAATGGGGCTGAGTTCCAGCTTCGTGCCTCGGAGTAGAGAGGGAAGAAATAAAAAAGCCAAAGTCATTCACATATGGCCAGGCACAATCTGAAGACCACACTCGTCTTCTGGAGCACTCTTCAATAAACTTGAACAAAAGCCATGTACTATTAAACCAACAGAGACATAAACACCAGGTTCTCTGTCAGCTGATAGGAGGACAATGGAGAAATAATAGTACAACTCACAAGTGTTGGAGGGAAAAAGGCTAAAGATTATAAAGGTATTTTTATTCTTGGCTGACACTTCTATCAACCCAAGCCAAAAATCACAAGAAAAAGAATAGCTGCTTTCCTTTATCCACATAAAAGGATTCTGTGCTGAGCAGCACTTAAGAAAAACGATCAGATTGTGATTATATAACCCTAGCATGAACTTGGTGACCAGTATAGTCATGTCAAATTAGGATGCATTATTCAAGCAGCAGGGAAGGATGAAAGTGTTTACCATCAGATATAAACCCCCTGCATTTCCTTTTCTTCGAACCTGTTCTCTTCTTTTTCCTTTGCTGGCTATGTTGGTGGGCTGGCTCACTCACTATACCAGCTCTTCTTCAAAAACACAGAAATTATCAGTAACAGATGCTGATGGTAACTGAAAAGAAAAAGAAAGACATCCACTTATTATTTTTCCCCTCTGCCTTTACCAGAAGCTTCCATCTTCTCCCCCTCGTTTGTTTCTTGCTCCTCTTGTCTCCAGACCCTTGCCTATTCTTTCTTCTTTTCCTTCAGACCAGGGTGCCTATTCTGATTTTTTTTATTTTTTTTGCTGGGGCCCCTTCACCTGACCCCATTCTCACTTTCTTTGTCATCTTGTCTTTAACTTCTTTTCATAAAAAGACGTTGGATTCTGCCCATCAATGTCTAGACCACAACTTGTCACTTTTCTTTTTTTTTAATCAGATTTAAAAAAATGAAAAGGCAACAAAATGAAAGGAATAAATACTGCATGGAGAAGATGAGGCTGAAGCAGCCACAAGAAATGTGAATTCTTAAATGCATTTTACTTGTGTCTAATTGTTATAATGCAAAATAAAGTTATATTACTCAGGTGTATTTAGTGCACAGTCATTCTTACTGTCTGAAAATTCCCAACCATATCACAACTGCAGTAAGTTTAAATTTTTTGACCTCTTCACAGCTTTGAAAGTCATCAAAAACCAAATTTAATTGCCCAAGTCTCACAAAACCAGAGTGCCAAAGCCAGGGTTGGTATTACTAAACTGACCACCACAGAACTTGTTCACACTACAGATTAATTTAATTTATGTAGCTTCTCCTCTCCATCTGGAGGTCACAGTAAAGACTTTGGAAAATACAGTTAAATATTTTCAACAAAATTTAATTCCTCTATCAAGTCAGTGTAGACTGTCTCATTCCTTTTCTCAACCAGTCATCAACAATAAAGCATAGAAGAGAGAGTTGATGCCTTGATACCATGGAGCTACATGTGGACATTCAAACACATACAGAGAGAAAAATTCCTTTTCACTCTTTTTTTTTTTTCTTTTTATAAGAACTTGTCAGTAGAAATGGGTCAAGCCTTGGGTAAATGTGTTATTCCACTAACAAGACTGCTTGATTCTAAATGTGCAATAAAAGACTTTCCATAGCACAGACCAGGTCCCTGGATGCTTCTGAAAGATTCACTGGCTTACCACTCATATATGATAGAAGTCATGTAAAAAAAATGCATTCCTCTTGAGGACAAACAGTGTGGTGAACTGGTGACCATCATTACCAGAGACATGAAGCCATGGTCCTGTTAAGAATATTGCAGTATAACCTTAGCTTTTCACTGGAAATAATCTTGCTCTTTACACTAATCCATCCAGAAATCAGAACCACCAGAAGAGAAGACTGTTGCTGGGATGAAATAGAATTAATTCTTCCCCTCATCTGCACCAATTCTGGCAGTTCCCTGAGGGCCTGGCTTCTCCCTCTGCTCTCTCAAAGGCAAGAAATGGCTGCTTTGGGGGACAAATTTAAGCATGCAGCTTAGGTTCCTGCTGTACGTCACTCTGGGAAGGGGCATCCACCTCCCTCCTTGGGCTCTGGAAGGGCTCTCAGTTCCTCACTCCACACACCCTCTGTGCCATAGCCTCATCACCCTCACAGTGGAGAATTTCTCCCCAACTTCTCATGCTAACCTACTCTCCTTCAGTTTGGGCCATTTCACCTGGTCCCATTTGGATACTGGAAGGCTGCTAGAAGAAAAGGAAATGCCGGAATATTTAATATTCCAGTGCACCCTGCTCTTTGGAGCATCAGCAGTAGAAACTCTTCTTCAGTCTGGAAGCTGCCTGTCATCTGCTTGGAAGACATTTCTCCTCCCTGCATGCTTTTGGGATGTTTCTTATTGATTCCACAGCAGGTCTTTGTGCAGCCAGCAGCATACATGACACTTGTGCAGCAGCTGGTCTTTCAGAGGGAAAGCACAGCCCAGGACAGACAGAACCAGTGCAGCTTCAAGGAAAGAGCCTGAGCATTTCTGGCTGCAGAAGTAGCCCCTTATTGGCCAGGTCTAAAGGAAACCTTATCCCTTCCCTTTCTTCCCTTCCTTCTCTCTCCTTTCTTCTCTATCTTCTCACTCTTTCTCTCTTTCTCTTTTTTTTGTGCTTGTGTGCTTTTCTTGGCACCCCCTGACATTCCAGCTGAGCAGCACCTCACTGAGGTATTACCTGATTACACTGAGCACTTTCACATGTGGAATTTTGCACACCCAGTGTTCAGCCAGTGACAGTAACAAATAGGGTATTAATTAACACCACAGTGATTAAAGACTCGGGATCTCGACATCTGTAATGAATGTTCCAAAGATAGTGTCCGTGCATGGGGATCTGTAAATCAGGGGCTTGCAAAAGAAGCTCTGCTCTTTCTCAGCTCATTGCCATTCTCTGAACGCTAACCAGGGGAACAAGGCAGAGCTGAAGCATTTGAATAAACCCTCACTTTTTCAGAGGATTTAATGAATCATTAGCAGACCATTCTATCAGCACTGAGGGGATGTTGATGAAGCCCTTTCCTTACCCACAGTGCATGAAAGTCACAGTGCATTAGAAGGGACCCAATCAGTCACATGAGAAATGGTTTTATTTCCTCCAACATCTAATTTGATTATCTTGTTATGTTTCACCCCACTTTGTCTAACCCAGCAATTTGCTTCTAGATAATTTCATTCTTCCTTCTCTGCTCCCTGTTAAAAAACAGGGACAGGTCAGATGGAAAGTGCTTCTCCAGTAGGTCTTCAGTCAAAGATGAAGTTGATTAAAATGTCATATAAGTAATAAAAAATACTGGCATTCAGTCAAAACCTGACAAAATAGTTATGGCTTGTCTAATCCACATCCAGCTATAAAACATGATTTACCAAATACCCTCACCTAACAAAGGGTATCAGGTTTCTTACCGAATTCCCTCTATTTGAAACTTTCATAATATGCAAACATATATGGATTTAATTTTTTCATTTCCTTATGGATGGAATATTTCAATCTGTTAATATTTACACAAATCCTGGTAATCCTGAAAACTGTTTAGGCTTTATTTTTCTTTCAAATTATATTTTCTCCGGTTTTCTTTCTGTTACATCTATCCTTGTGCATGGATTTACAAGAGCAGGCAAATGATGAAAATTACTTTTTCAAAGAAAATAGTGGAGGTAGGCAGAAACCCAAGACTGTAAAAAGATATATTTTAATCAAAGTTATTAACTACCTAATGGCTAAAATAGACTCCTCACCATGCCAACAAATGTTAAATTGGCAATGGTTGGAAACAATTGCAGAGAGGCACTTCAGAAACTTTTTTCCTTGGTGTTTCAACTAGGCAAGGAGTATGTGAATCCTGGAATTGTCACCCCATGGAAGCACAAGTGCCTTTGCATCTGTTTAGGGCCACTTTCGGATTTGTGTCCTCTGTACAATGGAGATGTGAAATTCAATCTGTGACATTAATAGGATCAAATGGTGATGCTTAATCCCATGGAACAGGCAGAGATCGTTTGAACACTCTCTGCAACCTTCATGGCCCTTGCTAAGGTCCTGACCTTTATCTTCTCACTATAAAGTTTGCTAACCAAAGGCATCTTGTTTCTCTCTCTAGGTATTGTAATAAACTAGATACATATTAGTTTCTCTGTCAGGTGATGTCAGAACCAAGAAAGTGTGACAAGCAAAAAGTGTGTCTTTTACTCAGAAATTCGCATCTATTTTAGTGCTACCAATTTTCAAATTAAAGAATGGCAACACACATCACTATTTTTCAAGATAAAGCATGACTGAAAGTACATTTTTTATTCTCTCAGGACACCCTGTGTGACCAACTATATTGCTGAAAACATGTTCTTTTGTACAAAATGGATAAAATCACAGTATTTGAAGTGGTTATTTGGAGAAAACTCATGCACTTGGGCTAATATAAGAAAGAAAGCAATGAAAATGGGTATTTGCATCTTTCTGATGGGGCCCAAAGACAATGGAAGGGATTAAGAGTTAACAATTCAACTGTGACTAAACAATAGGTTTGTTAAGGAAGTTGACTAAAGTTTAAGACAACTCCTCCAAAAGTCTCTTCAACAGGCAGATGTTTAGTGAATGGAAAACAGCCTGGCATGAAATAACCATGGAGGAAGTTATGGGCCAGGGAAGGAAGGGGGGGAAAAGCACAGGGGGTTCCTGTAGGAGGGCAGAAAACCCAGATCAGCCAAGACACTTCAGAGAAACCATCCTTAACTGCAAATACCCATTTCCAGGAAGCAATAGCACTGACCATGCTCTGCCAAGGAACTCCTGCAAAGCCAAGTGAAGAGCCAGTGCTAACAATCCAATGGGCTTCAGGAAACTGTTGGCACAGCCCTGTCCTTGGTACCACTGGGCCAGAGAGTGAGGATTTTGAACTGCCACCTGTTTAAGGCAGCCGAGGAGCCACAAGAAGTAACACACCAAGGGAGATTTGGGAGGAGCTCATTTCTTTGATTTTGATACCAACAGACCTCAGAATTTCTTGCCTGTCCTAAGGAGAAGAAATGGCTTCACAGGTAGCAGATAATACGTTGTCTATTTGAGAGACACCTGCTCCTGCCAGGTTCTGAGTCCCCACCTGCACCAAGAAATCCTAATTTGTGAATGGGGAACATAACCTGGCCCCTGTGTGCTCAGCAGATCCATCACTCTCAGTTTAGCATACAGAGTCCTGGGACCCAGCAGCAGTGCCCAGGAAAGGGAGCTGTGCCAGCTCTGCACCCACAGTGACTCAACTGCTCCTCAGCACAAACAGACCAGCTGTCAGTGCCTCTCTCTGCCTTCAGCCACACATTCCCAGAGATCCTTTCCTGTGTCCCTTCTCTCTTTCACAATGTTTGCAATGTTTTTCAATGCTTCTGCTCCATTTGGTGCTTCTTTTATGTACTCTCCAATGCTTTCCTTCTCCACCACCATCCACCCCTCATTTTCCCAGCTGCCATTCTGCTCTTACAAACTCAACCTATCCCTGCTACTGTCAGCTCTGCAGATGTTACTCATAAGTTATTTTCTCTTTTCATTTGTATATTTTTCTGATTTCTCTCTCTCTCTTTCTTTTTTTTTTTTTTTTCCC